ATAGTCTATTTGTCCACACTAGTGTAGCTTTTCACACTTACTGAAAATTAATGTTTTATTTTCTGTAGTAAGTGTTTTAAACTTTGCGATTGATATGGAAAGTTAAGTGTGTGAAACAAAATATGAATAGTTAGTTTATATTGATTTTAATTTAAAAAAAATAAAAATTGGCTTTTAATTGCCTTTGGCTCATCAGATAAGATTGGAATGTTTTCCATTTGGGTTACAAACTAAAAATTAATTTAAAACTAGTATAAAATAATAAGTTGAATTTTATATCAAAAACACAAATGTATGACATTTTTGCTCACATCTCTTTATTTGCTCTTCTTTTCATGTATGTCTAAGCACAGATAAGAAGTATAGCTATAAATGCAAAATCTTAAAAGCAGAAAAATGTACTAAATCAATAATCAAATAATGCAAAACACTAAATAAGGCTGTGAGATGGAGAATCTGCAATCTGACTGGAATTTTCTTGTACACAGATGTACCCCAGCATAGCAGTCATGAGTAGAATATAACCAACTACTGCTCACAGAAATTTTCATTATTTATGCAACCATGCAGGGATACTGTTGAGAGCTGACTCGGCTCTTCATGTGAGTGAGGGAAGACATAATCCATTAAATATTTTTCCCTCTGCCTGAGCCATTTCTTCACCCTTCACCACATCTCTGATGGGACATATCGTATTGCAAACTTCAGTTTTAGATAAACTAGTCCCATAAAGCAACTTTAATATACTTTAAACTATGACACATGTGCATACATATTCCCCTCGTTCCTTCACCTGTAGATAGTTTCCAGTGTGACATATAGTTTTCTAATTCATGACTCAATTCAGTTTTTATCTCTTTTAGTAGCATCAACTACACTGTGTGTAGGTATGAGGATTTAATAAATTTATGTCTTGAAGTAGGGAGGCAGATGCATTTTTAAATATTTAAAAGAAAGCCTTATTATTTTAGTTACCAAATGTGTTATGAATTGTATAATAATTGAATGACCCTCCATCATTTTAGTTAAGTAAAAACAAATGAAAGTGTTTAAAACATACTATAGTGTTTATCCATTCAATTAGAACACATAATTTCTAAGAATGTTTACACTTTCATAAGTTTTGCTTATACATTGGAATCACGGGTTTGATTTGTGAATGCAACAACATGTTTATGGGATAAGGACCAATTTTTCGGAATTTTCAAGGAAAAAAAAGACGTGATATTTTCCAGATCTTGGAGGAGAAATAGTTTACTGAATATATTATATATTGGAAAATTCTAAACAAAATGTGAGCTGAAGTTTCTAGCAATATGTAAAAGAAAGAAATCTATCATGTTGGATTTAAGCAAAGACTCACTGTTTGTTTTTATATTCAAACACCATGAAGTTATTCACCATACTGACAATGTTAAATCTATCTCTCTATCTACATAACATCGATTTAAGTATATATGTGGAAAAAGTTTTGGAAGTTTTATTATATAGTACTGGAAAAAATCTAGACCAAATGTTGTGTGACACTTCCTAAGACTGATAACATTCTCCTTTTTCTCTCCTTTCCTTTAAGAATTTATGTACACATTTTCCTTTCCTCATGTCTCCAGGACATCTTCCTAACCACTGTATAGGAAGCCTTCAACACTACTATGCACCACTCCCTCAAGACTGGCATTATCAGTCTCTCCAGTGCGCTTGGCTGCACTACTGATCCATCAGGATAAAGCAGCCCTGTGGTCATCACGCTCATTTATACTCAGTGCAATCACACAGTGATTCCTCACTGTGCTCTGCATTTCACTCTAAGGAAGGCTGAGTGGGGAGCTGACTAATAACAATCAGGGTTTCTCTCTCTCCCACAGGAAGCAGCGCCTCACTGGGAATTCATTTCTAGTGTTCAGGGACTTGAACATAAAACAGGCTTGGTTCAACCTGAAGATCACCCGAGATGCCTGGTACTCATAAGACCCTGTAGCCTGCTTCATGCAAGGCAGTGGATGGATTTTAAATCTCTGTGCACAGGTAGGTTACATTGTGTATTTCACTCACTGGAAAGTCTGAATGTAAGTGCCAAGTATCTTTGATTTTTTTTTTCAGTTCCAATTAGACTAAAGATGGAAATGATGTATTGTCATCGCTGTCTCAAATTACTATCCAAAGGAAGATAAGTGGCAGGACCTTTACAGACCCCAACTAAAACATCCAAAGTCCTTATCTGTAAATGCAGCTTCTTGAGTGTTTATACAAAGGAACAAACAGTCATTATAGGTTATGTGTGACCACAACACAGAGAAATTTTATCTATCTTAGAACCTGCAGATGTTCTAAAAATCTTTACAGGAGATTTTGCCAGATAGAATGGGCACTTAAGTGTCCCCAAAATACATGATTCTATGTTGCTAACAAAATTACTGAAAGTTGATATCAAAGGGTTTTTATCTTTGATTTTTTGCATTGTCCAGCATGCAAAATCCTAATATGGGTTGTATGTCTCTAGTGACACTGAGTGACAGATAGCAATACGGTGTTGGTCCCAAGAACAACACATGGATAAGCTAGAAAAAAACAGATTCTGAGGACTGAGGAAGAAAGACTGGTAGTGACATTTGCTTAGTAAACACTGTGCTCAGTCACCACCCTAGAACATCCACAGAGAGAGAGAGAGAGAGAGAGAGAGAGAGAGAGAGAGAGAGATCAATTTTCAAGTTAGAAATCAATAGAATACAGTCTTGAAATAAATTAAGAAATTAATAGTTTGTGTTCTCATCTTTTTCATTTGAGATAAATTTAAAAAGTGAAGAAGGGCAATAGAATGATTAGCAAAGGTTATAATTTGGCAATTTTAGTCACTGAAATGTTACTGCATTGTTAGACTTACACAATAATTCTACTCAAAAATCTATTTTGAGAAGATGGTTTAGAAAAGTAAGTAGGTCTTATCAGGGATAAATCTAAGCCAGAGCTTGGAAAAAATAAGAGGAAACAACTTCTGTTGTTTACGTCTACTGGAATGAAAAGTGACCTTGGCTTTACTATCTGTGTTTCAGTAGAAAGACACTAAGAACAGATAAAGATTATCAAATTAATTCAGGGACTCTCCCTTCTCAAGAAGAATTAAACAAATTCATATTGAAAAGTTCATAATTATTGGCACTGATGTGTTTTTGCTCGTCAAAGTAAGGATAATGGGTCAGAATGAACAATGTGTTGAGTGGCTTCTGAATGGTAACCATACACGAAGTACTTACCTCAATCTATGTAACATTAAAACATCTTGCATCACAAAGCATCCTGCTTATAGAACACAAAGTTCTTCCTAAACACAGAAATAGGAGACAAGAGACATTGAAGAGCTGGTGCCACATAGCTAGCTCCACTCAGAACACATGTGTGATACGCTGAATAAAGTGCTTTTGCACTAAATCAAGCAAAACAAATACTGCAGATTTTGTGCATGATATATTTTATTACACATAAAAATATGTGGCCAGCATTTTTATTCAACCATTGGCCTTTATTTCCAATAGATGTAAAATTTGTATATATTTAGGAGATAAAACATAAAAAATGAAACATGAATACAATGTTTGATGATCAAATCAAGATAATTATTATTGCTACCTCCTCAAACATTTATCATTTCTACGAGTTTGTAAACAATGGATTCTTCCAATTACTGTGAAATATAACCTAACTTTAAATATGCAATATTTTAATTCATTTGGTATGTAAATCTAAAAGCCCTCAAAATGTAATGAATTACTGGAATTGAAACAAGAATCTAAGTTAAAAATTCTTCAAAGAAACCTAAAAACTTTAACTAAAAATAAGGTCATTATTAAATGTAAATGTATATCTAAACTGTACCACTTGAATTAGCCCAATACAAGAATATGAATAATTGATAAAGGAAACATACAGCTAATAATTGGAGCCAAATAACAAATTGCCAACACAAAAAAGCACACACTGAATCAAAGCATGATCAATAAGCTAAGACTTTCATTAATTTATACTTTATGCAAATTTTCAGGTTACTTTATCTCACTGAGTCTCAGCTGTTTCTCTAGAGTCCTTCTACACAATAATAAGATAATTTTTCAAATGTTCATAGTATAATTCTGGGCACAGATGATGTACTATATAAATACCGGAAATCTCCATTAATTATTCTACACAATAAATCAAGCTATCAGATTTTAACTAATAAATATCGCAGGCAAGCAGTTTAAAAGTTAAAACTGTTTTCAAGCAAATTAAAGATAAAGAGGATTCACTGAGAATGAACAGGCATAACAAATTGCTGGAGTTAAAAATATAAATGAAGAATTTGTATAATAAAGGTCAAAACAACATGAGATCAGCTTCTTTATGGCAGAAGAATTGAATTGTGCAAATGAAAAACAATTTAAAGATCCAGAAAGTCACCAAGAGTGATTAGAGTAGAGGTGCAGGTCCACTAGAGGGCCAAGGAAGCAGAATGCTGTGGGAGAAATCAGTAAGGAAAGGCACTGGAACTGCTTCCCAGAGACACTGACATTCTGTGGGGTGTGGCTGGCAGATGTGGCCTGGGAAGATTTCTGGCTCATGAATTTCCAAACCATGCACTTGTTTACCACTAGAAACACAAAGACACTTGTGTGCATGCCCATTTGATATACATACATTTAAATATCACATTTCTTTAATAAATATCTGCTTCATAACATAAGTACATAACATACTAAAATAAATACTGATTAATTAATGTAAACTATATTCAACAATGATTAAGTTATCCAAACAGTTCTGAGAACTCAATTGTGACTAATGAGTTTTTATATCTGAGATTTTCAAACAGATGTAAAGAAAAACAAATAAGATGGGAAAATTTAATTGTTAGCTGAACTAGGCTGACATTGAATGAGACATTTAAAAACATGCTGTCTAAACACAAATAATCAGATTGTCTCTTTCTGTCTTTCCATTTTTACTGTTAAAATATGAACACATCGAAGTTTGCAGGGCATCTGGGAATCATACCCATGTGCCCGAATTCATTCTCACAGGGGTCTCAGAGCGCGCTGAGCTGCAGCTTCCTCTTTTCTTTGGCTTTCTGGGAATCTATGGGCTGACTGTGGCAGGGAACCTGGGTATCATCACCCTCACCAGTGTGGACTCCCGATTGCAAACCCCCATGTACTTCTTCCTCCGACACCTGGCTGTCATCAACTTTGCCAACTCCACTGTCATTGCCCCTAAAATGCTGAGCAACTTCTTAGCAGATAAGAAAAGCATCTCATACTATGCCTGTGCCACACAGCTGGGGGGATTCCTGGTTTTCATCGTGGCTGAGATCTTCATGCTGGCCGTGATGGCCTATGACCGCTATGTGGCCATCTGCAAGCCCCTGCTCTACATGGCGGTGGTGTCCCAGAGGGTCTGCCTGCTGCTGGTGTCCCTCACCTACCTCCATGGCCTTTTCACAGCTCTTGTAGTGACACCTTGTGTATTCTCTGTGTCTTACTGTTCTGCCAACATAATCAATCACTTTTACTGTGACAATGTCCCCTTGCTAGCATTGTCCTGCTCTGATACCTACGTTCCAGAGACAGCAGTGTTCATATTCTCTGGGACAAACTTATTTTTCTCCATGGTCATTGTTCTAATATCCTACTTCAACATTGTCCTTGCCATTTTAAAGATACGTTCTGCAGAGGGGCGGTGGAAAGCCTTCTCCACATGTGCCTCTCACATGATAGCCGTCACCGTGTTCTACGGGACTCTCCTCTTCATGTATGTGCAGCCCAGGACCAACCACTCCCTGGACACTGACAAAATGGCTTCTGTCTTCTACACACTGGTGATACCAATGCTGAATCCTGTCATTTACAGTCTGAGGAACAAGGACGTGAAGGATGCTCTGAAGAGATTCCTCAGGAACCCATGCCAGTCGCTGAAACTCATGTGAATTTAAATTCATGGTGCTCTTCCTTTAAGGGTTTTCATGGAATCATAAAAATACAAAGCAAAACAATGGTCTTTAAAAATCTGTCCACACATCTTCAATGACTCATTTGGTTTTAGAACAGAGATTTTAATTAACTTACCAGTCTAATCTCCCATAATAACACATGTAAATTGTGAAGAGTAATTTTGGAAGAAACTCAATTTAGAAATCAAATATAAAATACTAACAGACTTAGAAAGCCTGCTATCAGGAGGTGGAGGTGTGACAGTGTCATCTACTGGAAATGGCTTAGGCTTGCTGCACCCCTTGTGTAAGGTATCATTTGTTCAAATATGAAAGATAATGTTTTATTTTTGAAGAATTTTGTTCACTAAATTCTGAACTTTAAAAAACTACATTTATCTTGTTCTTAAAGTAATACATATCTCAAAGAATCAATTTTAGCAAAAGACAAATAGTGATGAAAAGTTTTCATTTCACATGGAAATATAGCATGTGGAAAAAGTTGATTTTCTGTACTATCTCTCTCCTGATGCATGTATACAGATCAAATTGCTTATATTCACCCCAAAACTATATTTCTAACCCTCAGGGTATTTATAGATTTGATACCCTCTGCTATGAAACTAAAACATTAAGATATTACTCCTTTTAGTTTTTATGTTTAATGTGACATGGAGTAAAATGCTGTTAAACCAAAGACAACCTTGTTTGCAAAATATCTGCATGTGGAAAATGCTACTAACATACTACAGAGTGAAAGAGAAAGGGCCAGGTGTGGGAGTAAAAGCAGTGTCTGTACAGTAGACTGATCCGTGATATTTCAGGGAAATTAGAAACAAGTGAAATCCAGAGACTGTGAGACTCAACACAATGAATCAACACTTCTCTTTGTTTTTATAAATGTAGAACAGCCACATTTTCTGGGTGTTCCTGGTCTGGAGGTACAGCTCTGACAGCAGTTTGATAGCTGCAGCCTTTAATCAATTATGTAGGTGTTAGGAGTTGGCAATGGTGACCTCCTTTCTAAGCTCAAAGGGGAGACCCATCTCTTTGCTTTGATCCAGCTTCCAGAATTTCCCTAGAGCCTTGATCTTGTGGTCTACTTCTAGACAAAATTCCAGCATTCTTACCTCTCCTTCTCCTGCTGTTTGTACTTTTTTCCCTTCTTTCCTTTGTGCTTATATTTGATCACAGTAGATAGTTCACAAGAGTCTTCTGATTCCTAACATAAGCACAAAAGAAAATTCTCTGTTCCATACAAGGTAACCCATTCAACAGGTCTGGGAATTAAGACTCAAATATTTTTGAGGGTTGAATTTTTCTGCCTAACATATATTCTTCTGCATATCTGATGAAACTGATCTGTTGAAATCCATCTACCTATGGAATCTAACTTCAATATCATCATTTTGCAAATGTTTCCATCTCATTACAAGTACCAAAGATAATCAATTTAGAAAAAGAAAAACAATTTAGTTGTAGTTTTATTTTGGGGTTGCTTATGTATTTACTTAATCAGTTTTAGTTCATTCAGGACCTCCTGCATCCCAGAGAAAATCTGATCCTATCTTGACAAGGGATGCATGAGCTTTGAGGAAACCAAGAGCATAACTAATGGCAAAGAACTGGTGTCAAAACTGAACCACTACATAATTTAAAGCAGCTCCTTTAAAAGTACAGAATTAGATTGAAGAGAAATTACTTGATAGTCAAGTGGAGAAGCAGTATTTTAAAAAGTGTTAAAAATAAACAGGAACCCTCAAGTTGAAAAATACATAAGGCAGTATTAAAAATATGACAGAAGGTTTTGAGAATTAAGAATTAATCAGATTAAATGTACGCTACATGGAAACACAGTTAGAGGAGATAAAAATCAAAAAGTGAAGAGGAATGAACAAAACTGGTGAGATACCTAAGAGAATATTTTACAAAAATAATACATGGGCAGTTATAGCTCAAGGGGGCTAGAGAATGCCCAACGGGTAGAATAGTTATTCAAAGACCTTTTTTGTGTAGAGAAATATGAGGAAAAGAAAAGTCACATGAAAAATAACCATGAAGTTAAGAGCTTTCCTCTACCATTATCTTCTGCAATGATATTTCTGTGTCAGAATCATCAAACCATGGACTAAAACTTCTGAAGACATGAGCCAAAATACATCTCTCTTCCTTTAGTGGTTTCTGTCAAGTGTTTGGTCGTAGGATGAAAATGTGACAGATAGGCTCACTGGAGTTGAAAACTATTTTGACATTGAGACTGTTCTAATATTATAAACATATGCAAACCACCCATTTCATATGACCACCAAATGATTAGAAAAATCAATAATACATTACTATAATAAGAGATAAGCAGAGTAGAAAGACATAAAACAAGACATCAAAAACGCAGAAGAATCTGAGAGGTATGGGGTGCAAGTGTAGAGAATTCTTTTTGTTAACTTTCTCTTTGTTGTGTGTTTCTGTTCTTAATCTTATGATAATTTTAAATTCCTATTATTTCCAAGTATCTTGCTTTAAAGGTATTTTACACCTCATGGTAACTGCAAATTAAATCTATTATACATAAACTCAAAATACACAGCAAAGGAATCATATGACACTACTATCTAAATCACAATTCCATGCAAGTAGAATGGAAGAGAGAAAAACAGGAACCTTCAAAAATTAGAAAATAAGTTAAAATGTGGAGAGAACAAATAATTCCTCTCCAGAACTTCCTCAAATGTGAGTGAATTACATATGCCAAGCAAAATATGTAGTTTAATTGACAGAATAATTTTTCATTAGAAAGCAAGACCTAAGTATTCCTTGATGGCAAGAAAACCCACTTCATCTTTAATGACAGAACATAAAAAACTGAGTGGTGGCTGTTAGATCTTCAACACACATGGTGTCCACAAACAGAAAGTAGCACCATTATATAAGATAAAATAGAATTCAATCAGACTTAGTGAAAAGCTATGAGTGGACTTGTTATAATGACAAAAGTGCTGGTTCATCCACAGAAAATAATCATAAACCTGTATGCTACCAAGATGAGAGTACTTGGATATATTAATAGACCTAAATAAATTATATATATATATATATATATATATATATATATATATATATATATATATCCCTCACATATATGTGAATTTTACATCCCACTTTCAGCAAAAGACATATTATTGAACCCTTGAATAAACAAAAAATATGAAAGTAAGATTGCCTCCTCAATCCTATGGACCTAACAGATGCCTGCACAACATTCTATCCAAGAGCTGCAAAGTAAGCATTTGTCTCATCAGCCATGAAACATTTTCAAAAGTGGTTCATGTATTGGCCACAAAATAAGTCTTTTCAAATGTAAAATAATTGAAATCACTATCAAGTGTATTTTCTGACCACAATATAGACAATAACAAGAAAATATTTGAAACTATCCAACACATACCAATTACACAAGTTACTTTTTGAAAATCAATTCATCAGGAAGAAAATGAGAAGGAAATTTTTATAAATTCTTGAAATAAATGAAAATGGAAACACAGCATGACAAAACCTATAGAATAGAATAAAAGATGTATTAATAGGGAAGTTTATACCAGTCAATGCCTACATCAGAAAAAAAGGAGCACGTGGATGAGAGCAGAGATTATTATGTAAAGTAAAATAAGCCAAGAACAGAAGACCAGTGTCATGCACTATCACTCCTGTGGAATATAGAAAGCTCATGCTAGAGATGATAAGAATAGAATAGAGGAAGCCAGGGATTTAACAGTGCAATAGACACATGGCCGGCAAGTGCAAGATCGTGAGTTTGATACCCTGTACTCCATAAATATATATATGCACATTAAGGAGCTGAGGATTTAGCTCAGCAGTGTAAGTGCCTACCTCGCAAGTGTGAGATCATGAATTCAATTCCCAATACCAAAACAAAACAAAACAAAACAAAACAAAACCAAAATGGGAGAGTAGTGGGGAAGGAAAAGTTGAAAGATGCTTCCTTGAAAAGCAGATGCTAAACACAGTAAGAGAGGATTTAATATTCTGACATGCAATTACATGGTAATAGCAACAAGAATTATGAGTTTATGTCTCAGAGCTAGATCAAAAGATTTTGAGTGTTTTACATAAACAGTGCTGTTTCTTGAATCACATATGGATGAAACATATTATCATCAAAGAGGGATAATGTGATTCTCCCAGTTCCTGTTTGTGTCCATTTTCTTTCCATTGCCTGATGGCTCTGGCTAAGATTTCAGATACTGTTACTAGATGGAATAAAAGTGGTGAGAGTGGAACAGTCTTGTCTTGTTTCTCATTTTGGAAGAACTATTCTCCATTTTTTACCACTTAGTATGTTGACAAGGATGTTGTTATGTATAGTGTTTATGTTAAGACGTGAATATGTCTACCTGTTTTTATTTCATGAAGGAATGTTGGATTTTGTTCAGAGGATCAGATGATCATATGATTTCTATCCTAGATTCTATTGATCTGCTCTGTTTCATTTACTAGTTTACATATGTTGAACAATCCTTGCATTCCTGAAATGAAAACAAACTATGTTATACAGTTATATGTGCTATAGAAATCTCTTTGTAAGTATTTTATTGACAACATTTGCATTTGTATTCATAAAGATGCATGTCTACAGTATTCCTCTTGATGTACTTACCCATTTTGGTAACTAAGTGATATTTCGTAGAATAATTCTACTTCATGGAATGCTTAAAGAATCATTGATGTTAGTCTTCTTTCAAGATAAGTTACAGGTCAGCAGTGAATCCCTCAGGTCCTGTGATTTTCCTTGTTGGGATACCTTCTATAATGGCTCTGATGTCAATTTTTTGCTATAAATTTGTTTAGATTTATAATATTCTCTTTGTTCAACCATTTTGGTATGATGTCTATATGGCAAAGTGTCCATTTCTTCTAGACTTCATAGTTTACTGAATTATGTGCTTTCAAAATAGTCTGTATTGATTATCTGGATTTGAGTG